ATTTGCGGATAAATGCAGGTGTTTGCGGATAAAATCAGATGTTTTCGATTAAAATCAGATGTTTGCGAATAAGATCAGATGTTTGCGGATAAAAGCAGATGTTTGCGGACAAAAGCAGATGTTTGCGTATAAAATTAGATGTTTGCGGATAAAAGCAGATGTTTGCCGATAAAAGCAGATGTTTGCGGATAAAATCAGATGTTTGCGGATAAAATCAGATGTTTGCGGATAAAAGCAGATGTTTGCGGATAAAATCAGATGTTTGGAGATTAAAACAGATGTTTTGCGGATAAAAGCAGATGTTTGCGGATAAAATCAGATGTTTGCAAATAAAATCAGTTGTTTGTGGATAAAATCAGATGTTTGCGGATAAAAGCATGTTTATGGGTGTAACCGTATGAAAGCAGATGTTCGCGGATAAAATAAGATGTTTGCGGATAAAAGCAAATGTTTGGGGATGAAAGCAAATGTTTGCGGATAAAAGCAGATGTTCGCGGATAAAATGCAGATAAAATCAGACGTTTGCGGATAAAGGCAGATGTTTGCGGAGAAAATCAGATGTTTTCGGATAAAAGCATATGTTTGCGGATTCAGATGTTTGGAGATTAAAACAGATGTTTGCGGATAAAAGCAGATGTATCCGCAATCATCCGTCATTTTCAGCAGGGCCCTGCTGAAAAAGGAAAACAAAAAGCGCGAATGAAACCAGACGTTTGCGTACGAAACAGGACCGAAATGGACAAAGGAAATGCAGGCAAACCGAACGTGGATGAAAGCAGAGCATTTGCAATTAAAAGCAGATGTTTGGAGATGTTCGCGGATAAAAGCAGATATTTGCGGATAAATGCAGATGTTTGCGGATAAAATCAGATGTTTGCGATTAAAATCAGATATTTGCGGATAACATCAGATGTTTGCGGATAAAATCAGATGTTTTCGGATAAAATCAGATGTTTGCGGATAAAACCAGATGTTTACGGATAAATGCAGATGTTTGCGGATAACATCAGATGTTTGCAGATAAAATCAGATGTTTGCGTATAAAATCAGATCTTTGCGGATTAAAACAGATGTTTGCGGATAAAATCAGATGTTTGCGGATAAAAGCAGACATTTGCAGATTAAAATAGATGTTTGCGTATAAAATCAGATGTTTGCGTATAAAATCAGATGTTTGCGGATTAAAACAGATGTTTGTGGATAAAATCAGATGTTTGCGGATAAAAGCAGATGTTTGCGGATAAAATCAGATGTTTGCGTATAAAATCAGATGTTTGCGGATAAAAGCAGATGTTTAGAGATTAAAACAGATGTTTGCGAATAAAAGCAGATGTTTGCGAAAAAAATCAGGTTTGCGGATAAAAGCAGATGTTTTCGGATAAAATCAGATGTTTGCGGATAAAATCAGATGTTTGCGGATAAAATCAGATGTTCGCGGATAAAACCAGATGTTTACGGATAAATGCAGATGTTTGCGGATAACATCAGATGTTTGCGGATAACATCAGATGTTTGCGGATAACATCAGATGTTTGCAGATAAAATCAGATGTTTGCGGATAAAAGCAGATATTTGCAGATTAAAATAGATGTTTGCGGATAAAAGCAGATGTTTGGAGATTAAAACAGATGTTTGCGGATAAAAGCAGATGTTTGCAGGTGAAATCTTATGAATCAGACTTTTGCGGACTAAATGAGATGTTTGCGGATTAAAACAGATGTTTGTGGATTAAAATAGATGTTCGCGGATGAAAGTAGATCTTCACGTATAAAAGCAGATGTTTGCAAGTGAAATCGGATAAAGCAGACGTTTGCGGATTAAAGTAGATGTTTGCGAATAAAATCAGATAAAACCGGGTGAATGCAGATATAAACTCAAATACAGGTATTTGCGGATGAAAACAGATAAAAGCAGACATAGATCTAAATAGATAAAACCCGACGTTCGCGGATAATATTTAAACCCGCAATTGCAGATAAAAACCGACATACCGGGTAAAATCAGATATGTCGGATAAAAACAGATATAAATGGACATAAAACTAGCTTGGATTTTTATCCGCAATCATCCGATATTACCCGTCTTTTTCAGCAGGGTAGCTATATCTATAGCTAATGCCTTGTTTTACATATTAAAATTTTAAGTTCCAAATGCTGTGGTTCAAAAAATAAAACTATAATAAATAATACAACAAAATTTAAAGAATTTGGTATTATAATATAATATGGTATAATATAATATGGTATAATATAATACCGGTATAATAATAGATAGGTATTTGCACAATATTGTGGGTATTTGTATATTTATAAATTTAAAAAATATTAAATTTACAAAGGAGTCGTGCACACAAAATTTATAAAAATAAAAGAAATGAAATTGACAAACGAAATTATTTAAGGAAACTGAGAATATTTAGGTATCAAAAGAAACTGAGAATATTTAGGTATCAAAGCGGTTTCATATATGCGAAATACGAAAAATGTTTTCATTGGTCCATTTGATTTGGCGGGAAAAGCGTTTTGTCGTGATGCGCATGCGCATTAATTAAATTTGTGTTCGTTTCAACAATAAATAAGCGCAATGATATAATTGCCACTGGTATAATTGCAACTGGTATAATTGTTCATCCATAATAAAAACACAAAATCTCAATTTACATAAAACAACAAATAGAAAATGTTAACCAAGTATGGCAAATATCGCCTGGGGAGAAAATTAAGTCCCTAAAATACCATGGCAAATATCACCTAGTGAGAAAAAAATGTCCCTAAAATAGTTCCCGCTTTTAAGAAACCAAAAGAGATTTTTAAAAATATAAGTAAACTATTAAAGAATTCTTCATTGTTAAACAAATTTTATAATAATATAATATTATTATATTATTAATATTATAATATATTATACAGACTGTATAGAATCAAGTAAGTAAGGCTGGAGACAAGGATGACAAATTATATTCTGATCAGAGAAAAAGAAACAAACTTTAATTGGGCGTGGTTTAAACCAAGCCATTCGTAATTACGAACCATAGTTGACAGGTTGTTTTAAATCAGAACAGAACGATTATAATTATTTAATAAATAGTTCAATTTTATTTGTTTGAAACTAAAAATAAAAAAAAAATTAATAATATGTCAAAAATAATGTGATTTAGTTAATTTTCTTACTTTTAATATTAAAAAATAAGAAAAACAACCCTTTAGGAAACAATAATAGCATATGGCAACAGCGCTGAATGCAGCCAGATACAAGGGCATGCAGTTTGATCTACTGTGTTTGTTCAGTAGCTTTGACGCTGTCGTAGGGAAATGTGTATAGTTTTTAAGAAATACATTTTCGCCATTAACTGGAATTTAATGGATTTTAAACAATACTTAGTTTTTATTTGCAAAAATGCATGAAAACAAAACAAACGAATTCGATAAAAATAAAACCTATAAATTCTCAAACAAAAATAATTCTAAAATAACGAAAATAACTTTTTTTCTAAATTAAATGTTCAAATAGACCACCAGCAGCAGTTAAACAATACCCTAGCCTATCATAAAAATATACACTAAGCGATATGGTCGTAACTAAGTAAAAGTTCGATTAGTTTATGATATTCACTTTCAATAATTCAATCCCTACCACAGTGGGCGGGGTTTGGCACCTGTTTTATTTAAGTGTATCTATTCGTTTTAATACACACTGTATATGGTCCGGTTATTGTGTTTCAGACAAATAAGGGTAAAGTTGTCAAATAACATTGATATATTAATTGTTAACAGTTGCAATATGCAGTAAAGGTTGCCTATGATAAGTAGGCATCTACTATAATATAGCAGAAATCTACTTATCATGGGCAACCACTATTGCATAATACATCTCGCTTATGTGCTTATATAAGTTGATACTGGCTGCATTGCAATTTGAGATTTAGGAATCCGAACCTCGGCAAATAAATGAGCCACGAATCGTGGCCCACGATAAAATTTAGCTATTTTACTGTAATTCTTTGTTGGATCCAGGATTGTTCCGTCAGGATCGTCACGGAATTTCCGTGGCTCTCTGCTTAAGCAATGCCTGCTTCGCAAGGCCAAAGCCGCGAACCCACAATTTACTTATTTGGAAGAGGGAACTGATTTCAGCCAAGTGAGCTGTTTCAGTATTCACTTATTTTGCCCCATGATGAAAAATAAACTCTGGTGTGACGTAAACCTTATGTAATCGGTATGATGTCAGTGTTACTTCAAGATGTTTACGTCAGAGTCTGACGTAAGGAAGTGTGAAATAATGACTCTTATATGACTCAGGTGTGACCTGACATGACGTCATATTTACGTAATTGTGTTTACTGGGATACTATTAACATATAACATATACTATTTTTTAATTAAATATGTTAGTAAAAATATATAGGTATTGTCAGTGTTTGTTTACAATTATGCCTGATTTTAGGACCCTAAATTTTTATTTAAAAAAAAGTCGCCCCCTCCGCCCTTGCACACATAGCATCCTATTGAAGGTAAGCTTCATAAACAAAGTAAAGACAGAATTAGTAAAATGGAATTTTATTTTATAAAAGCCGTAATAAAATGCTATTTTTTTTAAATTGGTTTTGTAATCCATACCTCGTGACAGGCAAGATAATTTTTTTACGAGTACATTTTGACTTTTTAAGAATTTAAAAACTTGATACCAACATATAAAACGTCATCGTTTTCTATCCTTTTATCAAAAGCCTTTTTTATTTATACATGCATACAAGGAAGGCGGTTGTAAGTTGTACTTTAACACAGTTTTTAATTATTTAGAATAAAAATCCTGCTCCATTAAAATCAAAATAAATAAAAAACTTTTGAAAATATTTTAGACATTAATTTAATAATATAGACAAAAAAAGCTTTATCCAAACTGTTTTACAAGTCGATAAATAGGTAACCCTTTATTTTTTTACCTTTTAATAAACGAAAAAATTTTAAAAAATTAATATTAAAATATTTTTTTTATTTCAGCTGAAATTACAAGAAGCTCTAAGAAAAAGGGAAAAATTTACGAAAGACCATGAAGATGTAAGTAATCGTGCTTTTTAAATTTATTTATACTTAAATAATACTGCGAAAATGATATCTTAAAAGTGGCACTTCTCATAAATGTTCCAATTTATACATTGAAAACTTAATTTGAAAAGAGGTTTAAGTTTATGACTGAATTTGAATTAGAATTTAAAAAAGTGTATTTTTAGATTTTGCGTGACATCAAGCAAGGCCTAATAAAAATGGAAAAGAAAGGTATGAAAATGGTGCAATAAAATTTGTATCAAACCTATTGTACATTGTTTTTAAGATGACACATACATGTATGACGAAGACGCGAAAATGCTCTTACCCGCAGAATCAAACAACGACCGAGTGCATTGGTACGATGAACCTCCTTACGAAAGCGACCCCGAGGACTTCTTAATGGGAAGCAGTACAGGTCCGACGGCCACCATTCAAAATGGACTGGTCTGCTTCACATTAAACTTACGTCAAAACCCTTTGGAAGGTGGCGTCATGTCTACGAGAAGTGCGGGCGACATTTCATTGGCCAGAGGAGCGCAAAATATCGCGAGAGTTTGTCGGGAAGAACCTCCATGTAATGAAGTGCAAAGTATGAGCTCTAGATTGTCGAATTTGTCGGTGGAAACAACCAGATCCGGGCAGGAAGAAAGTCAATTAAATTCGCCGCAGTATCAGACTTTTTTAGAAGATATTAATCCTAGTTATAGAAAGCCCACGTTCTATGATGGTTCGATTATTAGTCAGCAATCCGCCACAATACATGTGGTAAATATGTTGTTATACAGTGTGTCCGTAAATTCCCGGAACATGAGATTATTTTAAAAACAGTATTTTTTTTAAAAACGCTGAAACACGTCAACTTTGTTATTTTTTAGCAATATTTTAGCATATGTAGTTGTTCCAAATTCTGCCGCGTGGCGGCGCCATAATCAAAGTCAGTTTTTTTTAAATTGCAACCCTTTATTTTTGTTGCATTTTTGGATAGCTACCGTTGTCCTGATTACATTGATGTGCCACATCTGGGGGGTTACATAAGAAAATTTTTGAGAAAATCAGGTTTTTGCCGCTGAATGAGATTTTGGTATTTCGTCAAACTTAAACACAATCTATGCGTTGCTTAATGTTTTTTGGAAAGCCAATCAGAGCAGTTGCTCAAAGTGTCCACCGTACACTATTTGGCAATGGAACAGTCTGTCTACAAACGAGCGTTGTACGTTTGCCAGTACCGCTGGAGTGATCATCTTGATCTCGGCTTGAATGCGGTGTCTTAGGTCGTCCAAATTTTAAGGCCTGTTTACATAGACGCGGTTTTTAAGATGTCCCCATAAAAAGAAGTCTAAAGGGTTCAAATCGGGCGATCGCCACTCAATTTGACCCCTTCGACCTATCCAGCGATTGGGAAAGACCTGATTTAAATAATCCCTTACTAGCAATGCATAGTGCCCCGTAACAGCGAATAAGTTCGTCAAAACCAAAACCTCAATCAGCGGCAAAAATTTACTTTTCTCAAAAATTTTCTTATGTAACCCTCCACATGTAGCATATCAATGTACTCAGGACAACGGTAGCTATCCAAAAATGCAACAAAAATAAAGGGTTGTAATTAAAAAAAAAAATTACTTCGATTGGGGCGCCGAACGCGGCAGATTTTGAAACAACTACATATGCTAAAATATTGCTAGAAAAATAACAAAGTTGACGTGTTTCAGCGTTTTTTTTTTTAAATTACCGTTTTCAAAATAATTACATGTTCCGGGACTTTACGGACACACTGTATATATATATATATATATATATATATTATATATAGTGTGGCTCTAGCAGGGTGTATAAAATAGATAAAAATTAATTTAAAAAAACTGGAAAACATAAAATGTATATGTAATGTTATTTATTTTTTTTGTTCATTTTAATCTAATCCCTTGTTTTCGGAATGTATTGAGTCATTTGGATTTTTATTAAGGATTTATTAATTTATTCATAAAATCTAATGTTTTTTATTCAATCCCACCTCAATTAAAATAATAATAATAATTATAATAATTTATTTATATGAAGTGAAATTCAGAAGTCTTCAGACTTCTAAAGACCTCGGGAGAAAAGCTGTTTTTAAAGCTGTTTAAGGAAAAATGTTTACACTATTTTCATAAAGAGTGAAATAAAGACCTCTGAAGACCTCGGTGGAAATAGTGTATTGCATAACGAGAGCAGAAAGGTAATGAATGCAACGTTTGCTGCCCGAGTGAAGCAGGAGAGCACACACGAGTTGCATTTATTGCCTCTCTGACCGAGTTATGCCTTTATCGAAAGATATGATACAACTTGGTAATTTTTGTAGGTTAGAGTACAAAGTTTAATTTGTTTTTTGATTTTAACTAGTCACGTTAGATTAATTTCCATCCCGCTACGTTTATTACTTTTCCTCCCTAGTGATGCAAAAATAATACGTCTGAAATCCGCCATTTTCGCCTCGTGCTACAGGCATTGTAAATCGATTTTTCGATAAAGGTATTTTATTCACGACTGGTAAAACCTATTCGAAAATTTGTGAAATTTATGTGTTTTCATTCAGGATTTAAATTAAAACATAACATCCCAAACTTAATTTTTTTACATAATTGGTGCTTTTAGCATAGGGTCCTATTCCTAGGCCTTTATTTCTCACTGGTAAATGGAATATATCACATTAATTATTACTAACTTCCCCTCCAAGATTTGATAAATATCATCATCTTCTATTTGAAGGAATGCCATTTTAGTGATTTTAAGAAAAAAACTCGAAAAAAATATTTGTTTTAAAAAGCGCTTGCTAAAGCCTACACTAACAATATTTTTGTGATTGATATTTTAATAATATATTTATTTTTTAGCGAAGTGATGGTAGATGCGCTGGTATGTCAGCGATAGTTGGAAAAGTAAAAAACCTTAAGAATGACGTCCAAAGAACAATAATGAAATTAAAAGGAGAAACGAGAGAACAAAGCACAGAACTGACAATTCCTTGTTCCACAAGCTCAATCGAAAGTATACCTAGTGGATCAGGATCAAGTAATACATATTTTATAATTGTTTTTTGCCTCTATTTAACTATATGTTATATTTAGGTACTCAAGCATTAGTGCGAGAAGATAGCAATCAAAGTTCTATGTCCGCAGAAGATGATCTAAATTATGAACCTATCATTGCAAGAGCTAAAGCTTTAATTGATCACAATCCAAATCCATATGATAAAGAAGCTCTACAGTTTAAAGTAATATAATCACAAATATAAAGAATATTTTAAACTTAATAATTTTAGGCTGGAGATATAATCGATATAACTTCAATGAATGCTGGTGGTCAATGGAGAGGCATATGCAATGGTAAAAAAGGAATATTTAAGTTTATAAACGTTGAGATTTTATCAAACAGGAACTTAAATTCAAAAAGAGCAATCAAATTGCATAGAAATATCAAAGGAAAACCAACCTCTGTAGAAGACTTACTGCAAAAGTTAAACTTACAAGAGTATATGTCAGTTTTTATTTTAAATGGATACGAGGATTTAGAACTGTTCAAAGAAATTGAAGCCACTGACTTGGATTACTTGGGTATAATAAATGTTGATCATAGATCAAAAATATTGACTGCTGTTCAGGTCCTACATGATTTGGATTGTAAGTTTTGTTTAAAAATATAGGGTTTTTTAATAAGAGATATATTTCTTAATTAAAATTTTGTACAGGTCAAGGTGGTCGGGAAGGCGACACAAGTTTATAATAATAATAATAATAATAATAATAATAGTTTATTAGCATCATACATATAAATACATGTTTAGGCAGTCATAAAAAGGTACATAAGTATTTAAGAAATAAAAGTTGACTACGTGTTGTACAAATAAAATTATATACAAGTTTTAACATATTTTAAAAAGCAGTGAATAAAATACAAATAAAACATTAACAAGTAGGTATACATAATTAAAATAACAAAACAAGTTAAAACAGTCGGTGCCCAATCACCCTTAAAACAAATTAAAGTTATAATTAAGATAATCAGACGTGGAGTAAAAACTATGCTTTAAAAGAAATGATTTTAATACCACTTTGAATTGTTTAAAACTTAAATCTCTTACGGACTGTGGAAGTTTATTAAAAAACATTGGACCATAATAATTTATACCATTTCGGCTTCTGTTAAGTCTATGAAAATCTAAATGAATATCACCAGAGTTTCGCATATTGACACTACTTTCTTGCCTTCGGGTATTAAACAAATGCAAATTACTTCTAACAAATAACAAACAATTTAATACATATGTACAGGGTAATGTTAAAATTCCTAACTCTAACGCAGCTTTGCAATCATCTCTATAGCACAATTGTGCTCTATAGTTTATCCTTTTTAGAATACGTACAACTTTTCTTTGTAGTCCAAATATACGTTGGCTATGAGAGGAATGTCCCCAAACCAGAATTCCGTAGCTCATTTTTGAATGAAACAAAGCAAAGTAGGAACATTTAAGGACATTTTCCGAAACCATCAAGCTTAGGCGCCTCAGCAAATATACACATGAAGACAAAGACCTTGACACATCATCTACTTGTGCAGCCCAAGTCAGCCCCGAATCAAGCCTTAGACCCAGAAAAACAACTGAATCTATTTCGTTGGGGCACGGAAGCTGACGCAGAGAAAAGTAGAAGGTCTTTGTCTTTTCCAAATTTAAGCACAATCCGTTACAAGCAAACCATGAGCTTAATTTTGACTGGGTTTCAAGCATTTTCAGACTTACATTCTCAAATGATTTATTTTTTACCACTGTTGTTGTATCATCAGCAAATAAAAATAATTTTAAAGCCGGTAGATCCACTGGTAGGCTATTAATAAAGATTAAAAATAAAATCGGTCCAAGAACCGAGCCTTGAGATACTCCAAGATTCAAAGTTAAAACGTCAGATACTGTATTGTTAACTTGGACCATTTGATATCTAATCGATAAAAAAGACGACATCAGTGACACAGCACTATCTGAGAAATTATACATTTTCAATCGTTCAAGCAGGATTTTCCTTGAAACGCAGTCAAAAACAGTACCCGTAAAACTTCCCTCCTCAAATGAGCCACATATGAACTCAGCCAGGTGACTTACTGCAATGCTTGTAGATAAGTTTTGTCGAAAACCATACTGTGACGTTGAAAAAAGGTTAAACGTTTCAAAATAATTTGCAACTTGTTTTGATAATGCCTTTTCAAAAATCTTACTTAAAATAGGTGTTATAGAAATTGGCCTATAGTTATTAAGTTCATTAATGTCGCCCTTCTTATGCAAAGGTAAAACCCTGGAAATATTAAGGCTTAAGGGATATTCCCCTTTTAAAATTGATTCGTTAAATAATTTACATAGTGGATAGATGATTAGGTGAACAATTGATTTAAGCATTTTTGAATTTAACCTATAAACATCCATGCATCGGGAATCCTTAAGTTGCACAATTATATCTCTCAGGACATTAAAAGTTATTAAAGAAAACTTAAAATTATTAAGATTTTTTTTAATGTTTTTGCTCAAGATAGGTTGAGAAATGGTTGGCAAGTTGTTTACTATATTATTAGCAACATTTGTAAAAAATAAATTAAATTCATTAGCATTAATGCTTGTTGGAGTGGAAACAGTATATTTTTTCCCCTGATTTTCATTAATAATTTGCCACACTGCCTTACATTTGTTATTGGCATTGGCAATAAAACTATTATTTGAATCTCTTTTGGCTGTTTTAATAGCTGATCTATATTCACGCTTTAAAAGTTTAAGCTCAGTAAATGCACAAGGGTCTCCTTATGTGCACGGAAAGGTACAGATGTACCTTTTTAATTTTTGTTATGCAGTAACTTATTTAATTTAATTTAAAAATGGTACATGTTTTATGACATCTTAAAATAAGGAAAGATAATGCCTTTTATGTAAAAATTATAACATTTACCTTACGAAGAAATTTTTTATTTTAATCCCAAACTTATTATCCCATTTAAGCACGGATAGGTACATTCGTACCTATATGTGTTTAAGTTGAAAATTAATAGGGGGGGGGAATAAAAACAACAATAAATTCACAAATATATGTATATATATATATATATATATATATATATATATATATACACAGTTCAGAAGTGAAACATTTTGTGATGGTTTGAGCATGTTCATCACATATTGGGATTTTGCAAACGCTGCAACATTTTCTGGTTTTTCTTTGCTTTTTATTTTTGTTTCGGCAAATCCCACTACTGGTTTAGGGCCTTTAGATTCTTGAGGTTTATTTGCCGTAGCAAATGATGACCCTGGTGGTACCAGTGTATGCCCCATCATCGATTATAGTGAATTTTTGGTAGAAAATATGTTTACAACATTTGGCATTTGCGAGCGTTTTTCAATATTACCCATTGCGAGGCTACATCCTAAATCTTGATAAAAATTTCTTCGGCTATGTGATGACGACATAATTCCCTTTGGCCCTCCATGTCTTCAAACACTTTATAAAACCGAATCAATACTAAAATATTTCAATGGGTTGAATTTAAACCAAAATAAACAATTTCACAAAACGGCCTACGCAGCACAAAACAATTTTTTTATATAATTTTTTTTTTATTTCAAAGCTTTTAATTCTTAAGAGAGATATAATAACCAAAACACAAAACATTAAACAATTCCAAAAACTTGCTTTCGCAAAACAAAATCATGTTTTCTAGTATAAGGTACAATTGTACCTATCTGTGCGGTATCAGTATATTTATTCTCTATGCACATAAGGGTTAAAAAGTTTAATTTTTCACGTTTTACCCTTAATGAATCATTGAACCATTTATTGGTGTGTGAATTATTGCCCCTTACCCGTATATTTTTGGATGGAAAAGCAAATTTACTACCCTCCTGTAATATATCTAAAAACAAAGAAAACTTATCATTAATACCAAAATTGCTTGTAACAAAACTCCAATCTTGATTTAAAATATAATTATAAAATAAATGTAGACCTCTTTGGGTAATAGGAGTTATAGTTTTAGTTGATATTGGATTATCAATAAATGATAATACAAAATGAAAATTAACTGAGGCATGATCTGATAAACCGGGATCATAAACAAAGCTATCGTAAAAATCAGGTAAAACATTTGTAAAAACATTGTCAATACACGAATTAATTCTGGTATTTTCAAATATAGTTTTATTTAAATCAAAAGTCCCTAATAGATCCAGAAGTTCCAATTGTCTAGCATTTACTACATTAAAGTTAATATTAAAATCACCCATAATAATAAGTTTTTTTTCAGAATTATTAAATTAAATTAACAAATACATCAATAAACTTATTAAAATCACCACCTGGTGGTCTATAGACGCAAACAAGTACAATATTTAAGAGGTTAGATTCCAAAGCGCAAATCTCCACATTCATTTCCTGGCTTAAGTCAGTTAAGTCTGTCCTTGCAGTACAGCAATTCCAATTGTCTAGCATTTACTACATTAAAGTTAATATTAAAATCACCCATAATAATAAGTTTTTTTTCAGAATTATTAAATTAAATTAACAAATACATTGTAACGGGGGTTTTTGTGTCGCGTGCTTGTGGTTCCTATACTTTTACTGCCTATTCTTTGGTTGGCCTACGGGAGCTTTTGGGTGTATGGAACCCGTTACAAATTACTAATCTAATCTGACCTTTTAATCCGGTGAAGATCGTCGTGGCTTCGGCTGGAGGATGTCGGTGAGACGAGTCGAAGGCGAAGGAATCCTATATGTATATTGACACACTTAACTCACTCGCGAACCGCGCGGAAAACTTCTACACGATTACCGTTCACTATATACTTACTTTCGACTTAACTTGATTCAGGGTATTTCTTATACAACAGACAGAGCAATAAAGCGATATTTCAAACCATATAAATATATTAACAAATAAAGAGTTAACAATAAAAATGAAAAGATATAAACAAGTAAAATTAAGTTAAATAAAATTAAAAAAAGGGATAATTAAAGTTACTCCAGAGATTTAATTTACAAGAACTAGTTTACAGAACAAATTAGAACTCTAGATTAAGAAATTTAACTAAAAGTAAACTAAAAGAAAATGTAACAAATAATTAACTAAGCAAATGCGCGGGGCGAGTTACTCTAAAGAGTAAGTAACTATAATTAAACAACTATTCGGAGTGACTCTAAGATAAACAAGTTGGTTTGAAATATAATAATTACTATAGGTACCTTACACTGAATCAAATGAAGTTGGCGAGGATCTACGACCGATTTGGGAAGCGCGATAAAATTTAGATAAGAACTGACGATTCAAAGGTCGTGTTGGTTTTTTATAGACTAATTTACGAAAAAATGGGAAGGGATTAATTCTTAAAGACCATTGGTCAAAATCGTGGCAACTCCCCCCCCGCAAGGGTCATAGAAAATTGACTGGTTCAAAAGGTCATAAAATCTCATACCAACCGAAAAGGGCGAAAGGTTATTGGTTTTAATCTAAGCGATTCAGTAATTCTTAAGGGAGGAGGCGTTACCCTTTGACTTAAGTCGGAAACTCGGCTATGTGAAAGGTCGGGAACAAACAAGGTGGGAATTTTACTAGGCATTGGGCGGAGTTTTCGCCATTGTCGCCAACTTCA